CTGAAGTGAGGGACCAAGAACTGAACACAGCACTCACCAGAGCTGAGTACAGAGGRACAATCACTGCCCYGGTCCTGCTGACCACAYGCTTCTTATGGTCTCCTTCCACAGACCCATTCCATCACCTGATTCTGTAGCTGACACACGAACGTACATGCAATGGATCTGATGATCGTACTTCAAACTGTATTAATAACCTGTGCCTTGTTTGGAAAGGGGAATAAAGAYTTACTATACTGTAGTGCTYTAAATTGATTTACAATTACTCAATACCCTAAGGCATTGTAGCTAAGAATCAGTATGTACACTGCTAGCTTGTTTTAAACCTGATGTTTTGTGATTCTAGGCAGCCTGTAGGTCCCAAATCCAGTGTTCACATCACCAGACGAGGCTCCAAGTTTTGATTTTATAACATCTGTATACGCTATCTAGAACAACAAAGTCCATGGCTCAATTTTTTTCTACACACAATGATGTACCTCCTTTAATTGGACAAATTTGTACCATTGRAAGATGTCTTATATGCCAACAGCTTGTTTCCCTGTGTCTGCTGTTTGTGTCTACCAGGGAACTTGGCCCATCATAAGTATTTTAGTAAGAGTCACACGTCTCTTATCTGCTGCTACAATTTTCAAGCACAGTTGGTAATGCAATAACTGTCTCAAATATATTAGGAGTTGACAGAGTAGGCTGAAAAATGAGACAACTGCTAAAAACATGATTTCATATTAAAAAATGAATAAATAATAACCTCATACTATTTGTGCCAATCTTGCAGCTGATGAATTTCTGGAACTGATGATTTTACCAACAGCTGATTAAAACACTAAGGAGCTGGTACATGAACAGTCTCAGTAAGAAACCCATGTGAATGGAATTAATTTCCCTCCGGATAGACGAAGCTTGTTGCACTGAGATAGTACTGTTTTACTTTTAGTTTGGAGAGATAAAAAGGGTTTTGGGAGAGGACACTCTTTCCAGCTTTGGGTTTGAATTGGTGCCTGTAAACATGCAGTCACAACACYGGCCACCCTCCAGTGTATGACTTCTTCAGCCTGACTAGGCTATGGATATAACACAGGCTACAAAAACTGATGGTCTCTTCTGATGAGTTTTAGCTCTGTACTTACTCGGGAGACAAACTCAGATGGTTGTGCAATATTATAGTTAAATGTGCCTAGATGGAATTGTTATACATATAGCCTGACTCTTGAGTCCCACATGCACACCTACCARCCTCCCAGTCTGTACAGGATTGAAATCATACAGGAGCATGGTTTTTGAAAACTGGGCATGTATAGATGCACTCAGAACTAAGCAACAAAACATTTTGACTTTTTTTCTCAAGACTGCCTACCCAGAAAAGAATCCAAGACTGGTGATCCGAGCTTTCATTTACAGAGCATTTCACCCAGATCCAAATCCRGGATTCCAGTCTTTTCCCCCTTTCATACTCATTCACCTGGATTAAGTATTAYCTAATTGAAGCAAGAAGACAGTCCCTTCTTCCCTGAAACACTGGTCATGACTTCCTACYTAGGAGCTGGCCACAGTCCTTGAGCCAGCTGGAAGAGTTTTGTGCATCCAGACAGAAGAGGATSCTACTCCCCTTTTTGCCTTTCTCTTTAATGAAGTGTTCCCCAAAGCCTTTTCCTACTGGAAAACACTCAGSCTYAAAGYGAAAYYTTTTCAWAAGTAATCTTAATCCTTATCTAAAYATTAAAAAAAGCCAAAGGATGCMCCCAYGCCACCARCCCCCTGCCMGTCCYGCCAGCTGTATCTCTGATATGGTAGCAAGCCATAGCATGCATTATAGCCATAGCAATTTTTCCTGCTGGTTTTTACTATCCATGCACCAGAGCTTTTAAATCACAGACACTATAACAAATACATTTACACTTCCATTAGATAATGACATTCCATCCAAATGTCTAGAAGTCACTGCAAACTGCTTAATTAGACAKGAAATTTAAAAACTGAAGCTGTCATATAAGGAGTTTTTCCAGTAATATTTTATTTTYGGGGTGTTGTTATCAGCAATGCACATGGACAGAAAAGACACACRAAGCAGAATRGTTTCTGCCTACRTAAAACACACACCTGAGTACTGAGTARTTTATTGTGGATCTGTAAATAGAATAGCATACTTTGGAATCTATCTGAGGGATTTTAAGAAACAAACTCTAAGTATTCATCTCTGTAGAAGCCTATAAATCTGTACCAAAATTAAAATGTGCAGTTTTAAAGGAACTATGACTATACAAACCTCAGACCAYGGGAGGAACAGAGATGAAAAGTGTCATTTGTTTAGCTGAATCAGCCAGGATGAGAGAAATGTTCAAGTTTACTCTAGGTGTGTCTAGGCAGAGATATATTTATTTTATTTCTTGTGCCTAACTCCTTTATACACCTCTGTGTATTTCAGATCAACTTCTTAAACAAACACTTGGTTTGTTTTGTCTTAAATTATTTTAAGGGTAATCTTAATTGAGGTGCCATCCACTTAAAATCCATAGTAACCTGTAACATATGGACTGGACTGTTCATGCAGAGCTCACTTGTCTCCTACACTTACCCAGACATAGAGCACCCCTTGTGACAGCCTACAAAAATATATGCAAGCAAACTCAAACCATCCAATGTCTCCTGGACATAAACAGGATTCTGGTATGTTACATGATGTTGTGTAGTGTTTATTTTGAAACCTGTTACAGTGAAGTCCCTGGGATATAAAAAGTCCAGAGGAATCTCMATACGTTTCTTAAAAATCCTAGACATTTAAGATCTTTCAAAGAGAAAGCAGAAGAGAGTAGGAAAAGAAGGCAGAAAGTACCCAGTAGGGCATAAAAAAGAAAAGGTTTTCTTAATATCCAACCCATGTCTACCAAGCAAGTTTTAGCRGCATTCTCACACCCTTATCCTATCAACACCAGCGGAAATACAGACTGGTGATTACCCAAGGGCACTACCATTTCCCAGCAAAATTGCTATTGCATTTATTCAATCTTTTGGATATAATCCATGGAGTTTGCAAAATTTTACAGTTTATTGCTACCAAGGTCACAGTAACATGGGCTTTCTTTTGCAATCCATCAGGAGAATCCGAAAGACAACACAGATCATGCAGAGAGTATTGCAACATTAACCCATCACAACAGTCCATGGAGACACCACTCAGTGCTGTTTGCTGTAGCTTTMTGGCAAAGAGCCTTGAGAACAGTCTTCCAAATCATGCTTGCACACTGAAAAATGTAAATGTCATATTGTTTGCAATGAAAGAACATAGTACATACAGATTTGGCAGATTCCTCAACTCTGCAGTTTTTGACAGTCTCCCAAATCTAAGACTGAGAATGTCAGACTGACCCTACATTTGGCAAGAAAAATACATGTCCTGGTTTTATCAAACTCTGGTTCAAATCAGATCTCATTTCAATATGAAAAAAAATCTGATTTTGTAAAATTAATGTAATATTCTCATTTGTATAAAAGTAGAAAATTTCATTTACTGAATGTGGTGATTCAGCAAAGCTCATACACCATTACAAGAAAAAAAATTTAATTGGTGGAATTTGTATATAGCAGTATTTCTTCTCTGTCAAAACGTTTCAAATTAAATGAGAGGAAAAAAAGAGCTTTGATTATGTAATGAAGGTCTGCATTCATTTTTTGGCCTGTATCACTCTTATTGCAAATGGCAAAATGAAGTTGTCGACTCTGGTATTTGAAGCAGAAAAACTATCAGCAACTWAATGCTATTGTGATTCTGTCAGTTTATGGGCTAGAACTGAATTTTTAAAAGTTTGCAATGGAGGGTTTGAGTGATATTCCTAAAATCCACATTCTTTTTTTCTCTCATTTTCTGACTTCATTTCTGAGTCAGAGAGGGTGGAGTATAACTTTACCCATGCCATTTGACCAGGCAATAAGCCCAAGAAAAATGATTTTTCCATATAACATTAATAAGTAGTAAAATCCCAAAGTTATTTCACAAGACTTCAATTAGTATTTGAACCTGTATAAATTAAATAGCTGTTTCTCAGGGCYCTTACAGCATTGCATCTTCTTGTAAATTGTATTGAGTTTGGGTTTTAGGCCACCCAGCRTATATTTTTCTTTCACATTTTCTTTCTGTATATTCTTTGGCTTTGCCACGGGTGTTACAAAATGCTGTACAGTTTCTACATGAAGATCACCCAGGTGATGACAATATGCACTTTTTGCCATAAGCTCAACTGAAATGGATGTGATTGGGTTAGTAGAAAGACTGATTTACCGTGTCAGTATTCTTGCAGGTTTGTTTCTCTCCACAGCCTACACGGTTCAACCTCCACATCAGTCTTTCCACAGGCAAAGACCAGTAGACAAGAGTTTCCTCTTGCATTCACAGTTCACCTGTACCCAGCTGCAATATTTTGCAGATAGTTCTGATTTTATAAAATCAGCTAAAAATAGAAAGCCATTTATCTGTTTTGGTTTTTTTTAATACATTTAACAAATCTCCTACCTCAGGATACATAACTTACTGTTAAATCCCTACCTCTGTTTCCTACCTCCACAAAGTGAATTCTTACATCTCAAATATCTCAAGAGTAGACTACAAGCGAACACCTGATGCTTCAATGCACAGACTGCAGAGGAAGAAGAGTCTGCTGACCACAGGGCCCTGCCTTCCTCAGGTACAGATCCTTTCCAGAATCCACCTTTACTCAAATTGATTAACAGCCTCTCTCACCCCCTTTTACCTGCATTTGGATTCGGGTTCAACAGCAATACAACAATGCTCATGCAAGCTTTACTGAGAGCTGAGGCAGACTCCCATCAAAAGAAGCTCCAGGACTGCAACATGTATAAATTTGTAATGAGCATTTATATTTTGCACTGCAAAGAACATATCTTATCAGGCCTTTCCAATAAACATGATTCGGTGTATCGTAACAGGCATTACTACACATTTTTTCAAATGAAAAGCATGACAAAAATAAAACTGTATTTCTTACTTTCGACGGAACATTTCTGCAAATATGCAGCCAACACTCCAAAGATCAACTGCTGTTGCATAACTGGACTGAAGCAAGACTTCAGGAGCTCTATACCACAAAGTAACAACCTGCAAAACAAAAAGGAACAGAACAGAGAGTGTTTAGCTGCAAATTACAGAATTACAAATTACAGAATTACAACTTCCTAAGTGCTGTACATACAGCTTCCACTTAATTTAATCTATATTGTAAAATCTCACATATTAGGGCAAAGTGGTTTAGCCAGCACACGGAAAAGGGTCCTGCATGGAGAATCTCAGTATATCTATAGCTGCAGTGATGGTGACTTGGGAAGTGATACCATTTATAGTCAACAACAGTGCAATTCAGGGTACAACAAAACTATCATTTCAGAGTACAGCATTGGTGTGACAACCACAGTACCACAGCACACTAYCAGAAACTTCTTGAAGTTTCTGCAGCTTACAGACCCCAAACATTTTCCAGTGGAGATTTGGACTCTCCATAGGGCAAACATTAGTCAATTGAACAAGGCCTTGTTTGCTCAATTTTGTGGATGTAGATGTAGTCACCGAAATCAAAGTGGAAACAAACAAGCCAGGGAATATTGTGTTTACCCACAGGACACATCAGAACCTGTGGCATGTCTGTTCTCAGTCCTTTATGGTTTATATACTGTTTTCTGTAAAAGAAATGGGGTTAACTGAAGTGCAAGGGCCAATCAGGATAAACATGTTTGACCTGCCTCAAAAGTTCTCTCTGAAGAAATGGAAGGAATTATAACTTATTTTTTTATCTCAGTTGGATACAGGTTAAGTTGAACCCTTCTCAAAGCTGTGCCTTACCAAAGGCATCAGTGCTGTCTACTGTGGTTTCTTTGCACACAAAGGARCCCTAAACTGTCAGTTTTTAACTAAGCAACACAGCACAAGGATTCCTGGCAGATTCCTGACCTTTACAGTTGTGTGACTRTCTCTGCCCACGTGTTGCTGGTTAGATCAGCATTAACTTCTCTCACATTGTATGTTCAAATGACACACTCGTTCCCACGGACATATGCCACGTAAAGCGCCCGCTTTTAGGCTGTTCTTGTGCTGGCTGTTGTGTCACAACACATTGTAGAGACCCAGTGGGAGTTTTACTGGCACTGCTCCATTGATGTACTTTGATGAGTCCTGCACACTGGACCCACAACAGAGATGGGACAGCTTATAATTATCCTTTTGTTTCCCACAAGTAGACCAAATATAGATGAGRCTAACTGTATCTTCAGTATATTTGCAGAAGAACACAAAGAGCTTCTGCAGAGTCCTGTGTGAGCTGCTATCTTGCTAGAATATAATCTCAGGGGCACAGGAGTATTCTGCTCCTGAATACAGTTATAATCCAGCCACAACAACACATGACCATCAACTAAGTGCAAATATTTTCTTACTCTGTGCTACAATTTAAACCTCTGACTATTAACACAGCGGTTGGGAAGCTATCTACAATTATTGTTTTTTTCTTCAGCAGGCATTAAGGTGGGAGATGTAACACCAAGGAGGAGCATGAACCAAAACAAAACTGAAAAAAAAAGGGACAGAAACAAAGAAAAATATTAGAACAAAAATAACTTTAAAAATWACATTAACTAGGATAGTGAGTTCTGAATTTCAGGACCAACACAAAGAAATGTGTAAGAATAGTGGGGTTTTTTTATGATAACAATGCATTTCTCTTCTAAAGAAAAGTAACAATGGAAGTAATCAGTCGAATTTGCTGGTCAAAGCCAGATGAAACRAAAGCAAATACAACATTTATTACAATCATTACATGCCCTGACAGCCTTTGCAACCACTGAATGGCTGTTGAAGGGAGGTTCATGGATATTTGCGAGTGGTCATATTTACTAACAGTTCTTTTAAACATTTTGATGCTTATTTATAGAATTTGTCTATGAAACAGTTCAATAACAGTACAAAGTACTGCACTGGCAAGCTACACTTCCAGATACCTGTCCACAGAAAGACTCCTGTGTAGAAATCGGCCATTACTTAGCTCCATTTGCCTTGTTCCTGATTTGCTACTATACCAGTGATGTTTTATGAAACATTTCTCGCCATAAAAACCAGAGAAATTTCTTCAGAGATTCACTCCAAGGAAAGAAGWCAAAAATAACTGGAGGTCAGGGATTCTCTCTGCAGCTGCTCTGCCTGAATCAGATAGAATTCCTCCTAAAACATGTTATTTTTTCTAATGCAGATTTGTCTCTCAAACTGRACTAGATTTTTATTATTTCAGTACTTTTGTGGAAAAGCTTATTGAAGTACTTTTGCTTTGAGAAATTAGATATAACAATTTCAACCCATTACTGTTTGTGAATGTCTGGATGCAGCATCAGAAGGAAGAGCTGTCTGATCTCTGATSTGTGGGAATACCACCAAACCTCATGATTCCTGGTTTGAGATCCACATGGCTCTTCTCACACAGAGCATAAAGATGACTTATTTTGACCAGTCCCAGAAGCCCTGCAACATTAGGGCTCTGCTCACTCAAAGGCAAAGATCTGGGGGATGCACGGTTGTCAGACCATATGCCCCAAACTGAAGTCGTTCCCAGGGAGGTGTGGCACAGGAGAGTTGCCCCTTTCCTGAGAGATGCATGGCAGCCCACGCCTGTGTCCCTGAGCAGGGGAACARTGCTGTTTGCAGACGGCTGCGGAAGTGTGCAGCACGTTGGCTGCTTCTCCCATGTGACCCTTACGGCACAGTTCCCCAAGCATTTGCACCCTGCTATGCTCCAAGCCTGCACGCACATGGGACTGGGAGATTTTACTTGAGTAATTTGGAAAGTTAAACCAGTAAAATAAAAGCCTCCCAAAAGACTAACAGTTAAATTTCAGCTGATGCCTAAATGTGTTATAGTCAGGGAGGAAGGAATCTGTGTTGAGTTGTTTTGATATCCTCTGTCATTAATGTGTCATTATAAAAGTGATCGARTAACCTTTACAGTTTGTAACATGCAACTCTTGTGTTTCAAAACGGGAACCTGAAAGGGGTCAAAATGTAGTAAATGTCAAGCACACAAGTAATGCCAAAGATGACTCCTTTTGTGGTCAGGGGCTTCTCCTGAAAAGCACAGGATGATGTATATGATGCGGTGGTTTTGACAGTTTCACACTGTCTCTTACCATAGAAACCAAGAAAATATTTGTGGACATTCCATTAACATTTGTAGAGAAGTAAAAATGAGAGTTATTCTGAACACAGGATATGGTGAGGCAGAACAAGCAGGTCATCACTTCCTCTTTAGTATGGTTCTGAGCGACAAACTGATTTGCTTAGGTAAGGCACACCACCAGGGAGACAAGGTCTCCCTGCACTTAATGGAGCTGCTTGATGAAGTCCCATTTTTAGGATGAAAAAAGCAAGCACTTGTATTAGCACATCTCACCTAAATTCTGTCTCTCCTGAAAAACTGACACATACGAAATGGGGCACATGGTAATTGCTCTGTAGGAAAAGGGGTTCCTGCTCACAAGCTGATGGAGATCCTAAATCATGCAAGACTCCAAAATACTTCGGAGGTTTTAGACTTCAGTCACTATGTTGCATTTTAGTCCTCTCACCCAAGAAACTTATCTCCACTGCCTCCTCCTTGCTTCTCCTCACCCTGGTTGGTTTCTTCAGCTCCCCTCTTATACCAGACAGGTTTCTCCCAGATGTCCCATGACCTCCTGGCTCCTTTGYCCTGCCTGCCTCTGCTTTCCTGTCACACACCAGTGGCCCTGACAGCATCTTCCAACAGGCCTAATTCCCTGACGTTCCTGTGCAAACACCCAACTGGACACAGGCTGTGCCCCGCTTCCATCCCATGTCCTCTGCCTTCCTGCACATTCCCCACTGGCTCCTTTGCACCTCCAATTCCCTCAAATTTCACACCYTGTTCTCTCTTCTTCCAACTACGTGCAACCACTCCTGGGCAAAATCAGCTACTTTCACCCTTTTAGCTTCTTAGCCCACTTTGCCTGTGCTGAAGATACCCTGTAATATTTGTAATAGATCAAGMYACATATGARAAGAYTGAGAATACTCATACACTGGAAGAAGTAACCATGTTCCTTTTCCAGTGCACCTTATGTTTCCACTGTCCAGATAARATCAGATGGTATCAGGTAGGMAGAGTATCAGTAGCTGCAGATCACYAGTAATGATTAAAAGTTCATAGATTTCGGCAGCACTTCAGAATGAAAAGAAATGTGTATCTGAGAGGCAATAGAAAGGAAAAGAACATCTGCATAAGTCTACTGAGGCTGTGTCTGACCCTCTAAASAAGGAAATGCGCTCAGAAAGAAATGGGGAAAGCTGCATTTAGAGTCAGAAGAAGAAAGAGAACTTCATTTTGAAATAAAACTTTCTGCCTTACTACACCTGACAGATGTTGCTATATGGCACCATCTAGCCCAAGGACTTTCAATCCTACACTTCAATGGTAGCAGTTTCTGATGAAAAATCAGATTAATGAGAAGTGTCTTGTCACTAGCAATGCAAATAGAAGAGCTAGGCATTGTGTCAATCTCATGTAATTTCCATTTACTTTACAGAACCAGTTTTCATTTTTGCGTAACTGCTTAATTTAAATGGATCTGCACAATATACAGCCCTTTCCAAATATAGTTGCTGTCTGAATAGCATTCAGYTCAAAAAAGACAAACAGTGGTTTAGGGATGGGGTTGAGTAACACAGACACAAAAGGCTACATTTCAGTTTGCCGCAGACTTTAAATACAGACCARTGCCCAGTTGCACAGCTACAGCAACAAAGCAGGGATCAGACTGTAACACAGCAGCTATGTCTGTGCTAGGAAATTAAATGGGACAGGAAATGTTCCTTTGGCAYGGAGACCAAAAAGTACAGAGTGGCCTATGTCCATATTATTAAATTCTCAGCCTCCCAAAAAAGGTGACCGCATGCAAACTGCTTATTGGGAATGGTCTTTGGTCCATGCTCAACTGCCAGCGCCTAGGAACTGTCTGGGGAAGGGCTGGTTGGAATAACTCATGCCAGGAACCATTCTAATAATTCAGCAGTATAGACAATTGAGCTCCAGTACCCACGAATGTTTC